TAGCATCCGGCTAGCTCAATAGCATTATTGGGTATGTCGCTGTGTAGCCATGTTTCTGTGAAAACCATGACGTTGCAATCCAAAAGTCTCTTACTGTGGGTGATGCGAAGTCGTATCTCGTCCATTTTGTTCACTAATGACCGCACATTACCGAGGAAAATGCTGGGTAAAGAGAGCTGGAGTGGTGTTAGCTTTAGCTTAGTTCTTAGCCCTCCGCGCTTACCCTGCCTTTGTTTATGATCACGACGCCGCCTGCGAGCACTTCCGCCCGGCCGGGTAGAGTGCGTAGCCTCGGGTGTTCTGGAGATCTCAGGGATGAGTCGAGGATTGGTGATAAAACTGGTGGAAAAGGGCACACCAATATCCAAAAGCTCCTGTCGGGAGTAAGATGTTAAGGCAAAGCTGTTCAGTGCGAACAGGCCCGAGATGAGCAGGAAAAATACTACAAAATTGCAAAAACTGGAGAGACGCTGAGCCTCGCAATGTGTACGCGCCGCCATCTTGGTCAACTGGTCAAGAAAGATGATTGACCACTCATCCATGCTAGGCTGCATGGAGGCACAGGGAGTTCTTGCCCAGAACAGAACTATACCGCCAATCCAAACTGTGTGCTAATTGTCAATCATCTTTGACGATAGTGGTCCTGACAGAAATCAAGCGTAGCGTTAGTTCTGGCAGGTCACGTTAGTCAAGCTCGCATCAGCTGACCTTCAGCTGATCCCCATCTACCTATGGGAATACGACACCTATCTAAGCATTCATATACAAGGTCCCTCAGTATTATCAGCAGTTTTCGCATTGCTCAATAGCTAATTACCCTCCTCCATCCCCAACTCCTCTGTCAGTCGGGATTCAGCCTTTTGATTATCCTTTGAATCAGACTAATTCTAAAATGTGTACATAAAGTGATTGAACTTTAACAATATCTGCAAAACATTTATGTTAGTTCTGTTCACCCTGGGGGGTTATTGCTGCTCTCCTCCATGCTAGGCTGCATGGAGGCACAGGTAGTTCTTGCCCAGAACAGAACCATACCGCCAATCCAAACTGTAAGCTAATTGTCAATCATCTTTGACGATAGTGGTTCTGACAGAAATATATAAACCGGCTGAAAGGTTTTGAAATCACTTGTACCCTGCATGATAAAAAAAAATAAAAATTTCGGTGTCAGTTTGAGTCTTGTTAAAGTTTTAAATCCCTGCCACCAAGATGCTCCTCTGTCGGTCACGGATTATGGAAAGAGAAACTTAAATGTATTGGGGTGGTTGGGTTTATTCACGCACTATTTATTTAAAGCTCCTTTCTTTTCAGATTCTTATTTACAGTTTTTCTCGATTGCTTAAACATTTCTTGAAACTATGCCTCGTATTCTCAAAACAGTAAACAAATCGAGAACGTCTCACCCAATTCCCCAAACATCCTATTTTCAGGTCAAAATGAAGCTCCACTCAAAACCATTCACTCTTGCTGAAAGACCAAACTTTTCCCTCAGACGTCACACACACAAGCGTTCAAAAACACACAACAACATATTTAATAATAGTATTACACACTGGTGCAATAAATTCAAAACAGTATATCCAAAACTGGTGAGTTATTTTGCTTGTGGTTCTCCCCCTCAAAAACCTTTTCACATGAACACAAGACACAACCAATATATACGTTGGCACATTTTTATTCATGTCACACATCCTTTTTACAGGAAAAAAATGGAAACATACTGAAACTATCTGTATGAGAGGCAATTTGATGCATTTCTTTATTACAGTAGCATAGTGCAACAGTGTATGCACTCTAAAGTTACTGTACTGAGCAGTCTTACTGCAAGTACACCTACCCGTTTTCCTCCCTGAAGGTTCTGATGGAGTCGATGGTGAAGCGACTCAAATTTGGCTGTACTCGTTGCCCAGCCTCCCTCATAGTCATACCATGGACAAGGACATGGTCAACTAAAGTGGCTCAAATTTAATCTGAGACTGCTTGTCTGCTTGTCTCCTTGCCCTTCTCCCTCCTCCACTACGTCGTCGTCGTCGTCGTCGTCCTCGTCCTCGTCCTCCTCCTCCTCTTCTTCCTCTTCCTCCTCTTCCTCCTCTTCTTTGACCTATTCCTTCATTTCTCAGTGGATCCATTGTTCCAAAGCTCAGTGAACTGATTTGGGCCCTTTTATCTATTTATTGAAGGATCTGATTGATGTGTGTTCAATTTTGACTCTTAGTGTTTCCACCTGGGTAATTGTTTGCTAATTGAGCTCAAGCTGTGCTGACTTGAGTGAACAGTATTGAATGCTAGTGCTTTCTAAATGACCACATGGTGTAAGCACTGAGAAATGTAGGGATTTGTGTGTAGAGTTTTGCAGTAACAGTTCACCAAATCTGACTCATGTGTTAAAGCAGGGGAATAGTGTTTATAGTTCAGCAAAATGGGTGTGCTTTTTGAAAAATGGCGTTATGGTTTTGAAATTTTTGTTCAAAAGCCTGGTTATAGTGTTTTAGCAATCGAGAAAAACTGTAATAGGCTGTATATTAACTTTTGGAGAAAAACGGTAGTTCTATGTGAAATCAGAAATTTGAGCGCCCCCATATAGCCAAAATAGCATGATCATAACACCCCGCGAATATTCGACTGTGCTTGGTAGTCGAATCAGGCTCCTCCTATCAAATATTCGACTGTGAGATTGGTATTGAATCAGGCTCCTGCTATCAAATCTTCGACTATTCGGGGTCACCCATAAATATATATATTCTATATTTGTTATCAACATCATGAAATGCATTAAACATTAAATTACTTCAAGGTTTCTTAAAGTGGGGTAAATGAAAGAACTGCAGGGGGTTTATTATGAGTTGATGAAAATCTCTTACCATACAAACCATACAAATTTTAAATGAAAATGAATAAACAAAATTTTTACATTTGAAATATTTTATATTTTATTTGCATGTCAATGTGACCATTAAACGACATCAGGGAACTGTGAACAAGCAAATGTGTTGTTAAATGGTTGAAATATTAACTTTAAATCTCTGGGATTTGTGTAAATATTTTAGGTCAAAAGGGGTTTGACTGACAAAATAGTTTATGAATCCCTGCATCTCACCAACAAACATTAATAATCATGAAAACAGCAATGGCATGGTCAAAGTCTTCCAGGCTTTGAATGTTTTTTGTCAATTATACATTGCAGTGTTTAGTAACTTAACGTAACATAATTAATCATCTCATACCTGGTATAATTGACTGAGAGGTGCTTTTGTCCCCAAATTCAGAAGCAGGGATCACAAATTACTTTACATGACATTTACATAGCCATTCTATATTGTACAAAATCAAAGCTAAACATTATGAGACACAGTAGATTTTTTTAGAAAGGAAAATGTATAAAAGAAAAAAGAAGAATTGGGGAGAATCAATAAATTATGAATAATGCACTGCCATTGAGTGAATAATTTGTAATAATGTAATCCATAAAAAAGTAACTGTAATCTGATTATAAAATAAATTAATCGAATTACAAGTAAATTGTTGTAATCTGATGAGCACTGTATACTAACAAGAAACTGACCGAGAGCTGTAGCTCCAACCACACAACTTTGTGAAGCTGTTTGCCAATCGTTCATTAGATCTAGCTTTCAGATGAAATGCCAGATGAAAATTGTGAATCTAGTTGCTTAGAAATCCTCATCAAGCTCTCTCGTTACACAAGTTTACATATTCAGGGGTTTGTCAAACTCCACTAAACACAAGCAGAAGCCAGACTACAGTACTTAAACATTTATTCATGTTGATGAACTGAACGACACAGTTACTCAACTGTACATTATTAAAATTTTCCCATCAGAGAGAGAAACATAGATCACCTAAAAACCTGACCTCGCTTAACTTACTACTATTTACCCCTCTGGGTTTCCATTCATACAACTGAAAAATAATTACACTGATATGACGATCCAAACTATCTCCGTAAAATAGCTCATTTAAAACTATAATCTCATTCAACACTACAATGTCAGCACTTTGTTTGAGGGCAGATATTGTTAATGGTCCCCAAGCAATCGTCAGAGTTGGCTCAGAAAGCGGACTGTCTAAAGGACAGAGGCTCTTCATGTAAAGTGCATAAAATCATCAGGGATTGAATAAAGGGCACAGTATAGCACAAATCGACTGAAATCTGCCCTGATATTTCTGCGCACCGATTTCACCACTACATGCTGAGGACTAATGTAGATTTCAGTTAGCCCTCCAGATACAAAAAACGTGCTTTCAGATCAAGTTGTTATTTATCAGAACGTGTCGTTTCACTTTTGAAATAAAGCAAGGTCGAAGCTCAGCTGGGCTGCTCTGTCATTGATATTTCCTGGACTTCTCTCTCTCTCTGGTGGGTTCAGACGGTAAACACCAAACATGGGATCGATGGCAGATTCTGAATGGACAGTGCGGCACGAGGAGTCTGAGGATGAGCTGCTCACTTCAGGCCTTCATCTGTGCTTTTGAACATTAAGATGGCGTTGTGAATCTTCAGCGCTGGTCCTAACTTTATATTCATGATCTTCACAATATCATTTTGAGTCAGAAGGAGGAACGCCTCTCCATCAATCATCTGCAGAGAAAAGCCATGCTGTATCGATGAGCTACACAAGATGTGACAAGCCTTCGCTGCTCTAACTTCACTCCACTCACCACTCTAACACCACTCAATGATATGCTGCTGTACTATCTCTCTTGAGACTGAGATTTCATTCACAAATTTAAGTTCATAATATATACTTGGCTTTTTGTTTCTGCAAATGCCTGAAATATCATATACAGTAGGTATAATCAGATTTTGTTGCTTTGCAGCCTGAAATGAAGACAGACACAGTTTTTGTTTTATCCAGTTCTATTTACTCAGTGCAACTTATAACATCCAAGTGAAAGATATAACACCATCTTTTAAAGGGGCCTGATTCTTTTCGATACCCACTGTATAAAGTTATTTAAAGAAAATGTTAGTGGTGTGTACCCATGCAAAACACACCACCACTCTACTGGAGCTTTTATTTGTATTTATTTTATTTTTTTAATTGAGAACCAAGCATAATCAAGAGTATATATATATATAAGCACCTGATCCTGCAGCTTTCTGTTGAGACGCCTGCATTTCATCCCCAGACATTTACTGCACAAAGTTAAATGTGATTGCGCCTTCATATACAGAACTCAAACTATTAGTTAAAGCTTAATTATGACTAACTATTAAATCCCTATTTTACACATTAATACAAATGATGCTTTCTTCAACAAGTACCATTGTTAAGTGAAATTTAATGAAGCTAATTACTCACTTCATCTTTGAAAATTCGGGTCTGCTCCTCGCAACCAATAAGATTATTGACAAATCCAAAGACCTGCAGATAAAGCAGAGATATACATTAACATCATACTGACTGCTGTTTGCTTGCTGTGTCTGTAGATTATTTTATAACCCAGACGTTCAGAACTGTGCAGCTGTATTGCATTATTCGATTCATTTTTCTTTCTTTTTTTAATTTAAAATAAAAATGTTGGAAACATGTAAGTGATTAAGTGATATATATATAATAATATAGTACATGTGCAAATAATGGCCTGTGTGTATGTTATCCTATGTGAGTAGATGTTGTCTTTTACTCAAAAATTCATTGATTTATTTGTTTTACACAAAGGAATTGCATGAAGTGATTACCTCCTCTATAGTCCAGGTAGATACTTGACCTGCATGAATTCCTGCGACGCCAGGCAGTAACTTACAGTGCTGCTCCCAGCAGAGAGACAGAGTTCGGTCCGAGTTTGCTGTAAAGGCTGTCATGAAGAGAGACGAGTACATTCCCTCCGACATCATGTCTGAAACACACACAAACACACACACACACACACACACACTCACACACACACAGTCACACACACTCTCACACACACACACAGACACACACACACACACACACACACACACACACACACACACACACACACTCTCACACACACACACACACACACACACACACACCGTCTTTACGTTTACATGCTCATTAGATTCTGATTAAGCTAAAGGCGTTACAGAATGTTTATTCTAAAAAAAGGTTTATGCTTCTGTTTTGCACTTAATCCACATATTCTGAATAAGACTCTTCTGGAAGACTCTACTTGAGATGCTTGCATTTGTCATTTACCATGCTGTAATTTTCATAATTCTTCACAGTAATATCATCAACTATTGACCGTTAGTGTCTCTTTAATAAAACCATGCAATAGTGCAACGAATTGCAAAACAACATGATATAGACGTCATCTGTCAATATATTGCTTAATTCGGATATTACAGTTTTTGCCCATTGCTTACACACTAAAACTGAATGCTTAGACCAAAGCCTCAATACCTAAACTTATTGTAGCATACCTTAAACACAGTGTAACCATAGCTTAAACACATTGTCAACTTTGCACTTTGTTTGCAATTCTGTAACACACTTATTGCGAAACACTACACACGTTTTCTTACATTAGACACTTTGTTCAAAAACGAAATCACCTGTTATCATTGGGAAAACACTCTGTTCACGCAAATGCAAAACTCATCTGGCAATTGTAGGCACTTACATACACACCTGAAAACATTTGCACAGAAAACAGAACACCAATCGGTCTGAGCCTTAGCACTACAAATAGGCCTCAGGTAAGCCATTTTGAGAACTTTGCAAGCATGGAGGCAATGAGAGTCAGCGTAAGAGGAGGACAAAGAGAGAGAGGAGTCAGACGTGGAAGAGGACGAGGACAAAGACGAGGACCAGTGCGGAGACGTGTATCAGATGACATCAGGGCTACTCTGGTGGACCATGTGATAAATCATGGTCTGTCCATGAGGGAGGCTGGGCAACTACACAGTAGCATTGATAATAAGGACATTCCGACTGGAGAACAGGTATATCTTCAAGTTTCTACTCTAGACTGTACCTACTGTATGTGTCACATGATTCTGTATCCTATTACTGTACTAACTGTACTATACAAAAATGGGTAGTGCTGTGAAGTATATGTAAAGGAATACCATTGTGATGTTATAGTACTGTGTACAGTTTGAAAGTACAGTATGTGAAAAAGAACCTAACCAATGACATCTTGTGGTGGCATTTTCTACAGAATGGTTGGACGACCTCCTCAAGGTGGAGGAGAACAGCTCTTCACTCAACAACAAGAGCTTGCCATCATTGAAATGGTGCGATAAAATAATGCAATCCGACTTTGTGAGTTGCAACAACGCATAATTGCAAATAGAAATGTATTCAACAATATCAACAGGGTCAGCATTTCTACACTAAGTCGCATCCTACAGAAACATAACTTCAGAATGAAGCAGCTGTACAGGGTGCCATTTGAGAGGAACAGTGTCAGGGTCAAGGATCTGTGCCATGGTTATGTGCAGGTATGTGTCACTTTACTTTACATACTATATATTGTGATGTGGGAATGAGGGCTTATGCTGCCACCTGCCCTGCCTGTAGCTTGTAGTTTTTGTCTATACTGACCCAACCCAGCCCCTGCTTGTGTGAAAATATAGACATTGTAGTTACTGTGTGTTTTCGGTAACACTATTCAATATTTTCTGTTACAGACAGTTCTGGATTTTGATGCCGCCAAATTGCCACATGAGTTCATCTACGTGGATGAGGCAGGCTTCAATCTGGCCAAAACCAGGCCTCGGGGCCGTAACGTAGTTGGACAAAGGGCTGTTGTAAATGTCCCTGGGCAGCGTGGGGGAAATATCACCTTGTGTGCTGCAATTAGTGTCCAAGGAGTCCTGCATCACCATGCCCCTCTAGGTCCCTACAATACAGGACAGATCATCATTTCTGTGCAGGACAGACCACAGCAGCCCAGGTTTGTTGTCATCTGGGATAATGTTAGTTTCCACCGGGCTGCTCTGGTCCGAGATTGGTTCAACAACCATAACCATTTCACACTTTTATACCTGCCCCCTTACAGCCCCTTTCTAAATACAATCGAGGAATTCTTTTCAGCGTGGCGGTGGAAAGTATATGATCGCAACCACACGCCCGCATGACTCTTCTGCAAGCAATGGAAGAGGCCAGACATTGAGGTGGGATCAATCCAAGGGTGGATTCGGCACACAAGGCGATATTTTCCCCGATGCCTAGACCGCGAGGACATCGCCTGTGATGTTGACGAGGTCTTGTGGCCAGATCCATAACCCCCCACCCCACCCCAGCCCCCCACCACACGCACACACGCACACACACAAAACAAGTATATGTTTTTTTTTCCCCCAATAGCAATTTATCCAGTAATTGTTTTGTTTTTTTACTTTTGTTTTGTTGCTAAATTTGATGATTTGTGATTCTATTTTTCTTTATTTCTGTAAGAATGTTTGTTTTTTGTAAAAACTCTTGTTTGATTACTGCAGAAATTCTACTTTTGAGTTTTACAGAAGACTGAGTCTGAGAAAATGACAATAAAAATAGAAACACAAAGACTGCAGTGTTTTATATAAAGCCCATCAGTGTGTTGCTGGTGATATGAAAGAGTAATTCAAATGGTGCTTGTGTGTATGGTTTTGTTGCAAGAATTTCATTTTTAGAAAGGAGTGTTAAGTTTTGATTGCATTTCATTTTGGCATAGATGTGAGTTGTTAATCTCCAAGTGCTATGTCTGATTGGCTTGTGTGTAGAGTTTTGACATAATGAGCCAAATTCTGCAAAATGTGTGTAAGCAATAGGCAAAAACTGTAAGTAATATAGATAATATAAGTGTTTGCATAAAACATAAATTAAATACATCTGTCAGATTATTAGTAAACAGAATATTGCCTTAGAGGGTTATGATAATCTGGTTAACATGTTCATGTGACACATATATAACTGGAATAATCCTTGTGCATTCAAACACAGTCACTACTGGAATTTCATTGACAATTTTCAACTTTCAAATATAGAAAATGTAGTAAAGTAAAACTCACTCTCACAATTTCTTTGCTGACTTTTGCGATATTTAGGAGGGCGACCAATCCTGGTGATAGCAAACACAGGTGACTTACAATTAAATGTTTACATAGCAATATCTTTAATAAACAAATACACAGTCACACTTGATTAGCACAAAGTGAATATTCATTATACCTGCCATGGTAGCGCGATTTTTTTGCTCTCTGGCCGAAGACCAGCAGGTTACGTCTGGATCCTTCTGTATCAGAGAGATCCGCTTTAAGCCGGCCCTGGTTCCTCTCAGCCAATGGGCAGCCAGATAAACAGTGATGCGCTGTGAAGCGGCCAGTCACATGACCTGACCCGTCACATCCTGGAGTAGGGCACTTTCTGAGTGACAGAAACCCATATGTTCTGTTTTCTGCATTGTTTTTGTCTGACAGTTTGATTATTTTCACACCAGTGTATTAAACTAGTGGTGTTAAAGGGGTCCTATTATGCTCTTTTACAAAGTCTTGATTTTGTTTTGGGGGTGTACTAGAACAGGCTCTCATACTAGGTTGTTCGAAAAACACATTATTTTTCACATATTTTACATTATTACAACACCTCTCTCCCCAGTCTGGCATGAACGGCTCAAATAGTTCCTGTATCAAATGAAGGCCCGCCTTCTGAAATACGAAATGTGCTGTGATTGGTTAGCTGGGCCAGTGTGTGCTGTGATTGGTTAGCTGGGCCAGTGCGTGCTGTGATCGGTTAGCTGGGCCAGTGCGTGTTGTGATCGGTTAGCTGGGCCAGTGCGTGTTGTGATCGGTTAGCTGGGCCAGTGCGTGTTGTGATCGGTTAGCTGGGCCAGTGCGTGTTGTGATCGGTTAGCTGGGCCAGTGCGTGTTGTGATCGGTTAGCTGGGCCAGTGCGTGTTGTGATCCAGTGTGTGCTGTGATCGGTTAGCTGGGCCAGTGTGTGTTGTGATCGGTTAGCTGGGCCAGTGTGTGCTATGATTGGTTAGCTGGGCCAGTGTGTGTTGTGACTGGCACCGCTCGGCGCCCGGTCGGGGAATGTCACCATAGCCGTCTGCGAGCTTCAGTGTAAATATTACATCAAAATCAAATCGATTTGAGTGTGATTTAAACCCGGATGATTATAATAACCACGCTAAGTTCTTGTAACTTCACAGATCTTTTTTATGCTCAAACAGCAACATTACATACTAACTAAAGTCGAAAAAGTGAAAAAGCATAATAGGACCCCTTTAAACTTTCTGTCAAGCTGCTCTGAATCCGTGTGCATTATAAGGCTGACCTGTGGTGGAAGCTGTATTTGGAGGTGCTGCGTGGCTGAGGCAGACTTTTACAAGGCATGGAGGAGAAGCTGGGCTGCGGGGCTGTCAGGCTCTCCCGGAGACCTAAACCACACAGGTGACTCTGAGCTGACACAGTATTTGGTGCATGAGCAGGTGAGGGTCAGAGGAATGAGGAGGTTTCTCACCGGGTTTCTGGGCGGTGTGCTGGCAGGGTGGAGGTTTGAGGGGGTGTCCTGTGCTCTCACACCAGCCCGCAGGGTGGATGTCCGGATGATCCGAATCCATCCACTCATCATACAAGTGACTCCAGCCATCAAAATGAATCTAAGGACAGCAGAAGTGAGGGTGATTCACACTCACAAATAAGTGTCACTCTACGATATATATATATATATTTCTTAATCAATAATTGTGTCTTGTTTTCCTGTAAAAAAAGTCATAGATGTAGTAACAAAATGTACTGAAAATCATTTAGGCAGTGGGGTATGAGAAATAAGTTTAATATGTATTCTCTGAAAACAATTCATAATATTGTGCACAATTTTGCTTCTCAAAAAACTTGTCAAGAGGGTGTTCAATATTTTTACTTCTACTTGCTATTTTAAGTTAGATTTTTCATAATTAAAATTAAATAGTTTTTTTTGGGAAAGAAATTCATTGTTTTATTCAGCAAGAACACAGTGACAATAATGACATTTATGTTACAAAAGCAATTAAAATGTAGCTTTCATAATGTTTCCACAGAAATATTGGGCAGCACAGCAGTTTTCATCATTGATAATAATCAGAAATGTTTCTTGAGCAGCAAATCAGCATATTAGAATGATTTCTGAAGATCATGTGACACTGAAGACTACAGTAATGATGCTGAAAATTAAGCTTTGGTCACAGAAATAAATTACATCTTAATAGACATTCACATAGAAAATTGTAATAATATTTTACAATATTACCATTTTGCTGTATTTTTGATCAAATAAATGCAGCCATGGTGAGCAGAAACACTCGTCTTTCTTGTATATTTCCACTGGACTTTATGAGCCATTAAAGGAATGTGTTTAATATACTGTATTGATTTGTATTTCTATTTTGGTTGGTTATTTGATTAAACTGGCATCGCTGTGAGCTGGAGTTTGTCCACAGAAGCAGCAGCAGGTTTTCTCACCTTGATTCTGTAAGTGTCGACCTCCTGCACCATAGCCACGCGGATCAGGCCCGGACACCTCTTATCCACCGCCTCCAGCTTCATCTGCACCTGGAAGCTGTGGGAGGGGCGCTGCGCAAACACAAGAAGAGTCGCTTTCCTTATTTTGACCAAGGAAGTGGTTTTAATAGAGTTATCAGGACGGAGAGATTTCACACACCACTCTGAAGGCTTCAGGAGCGACCGCCGTCGAGCCCGTCTCCTCCAGATACCTCTCCCACGAGAACCTGTCAGGGTCAGGATAATCTGTTGGGACGAGATCACATCCAGTCAGCGTTATAACAGCAGGCCTCCTAAACAGACAGACATGAGTATTCATATGTGCAAGTACACTAGTGTTCAAACGTTTGGGGTCAGGGAGATATGTTTGTTTTTAAAAAGACATGATGCTTCTTCACCAAAGCTGCATTTGTCAAAAATGTAAAACAGCTGTTTTTTATGTGAATATCTGTTCAAATGTAAATTATTTTTGTGATCAAAGCTGAATTTTCAGCATCATTACTCCAGTCTTCAGTGTCACATGATCTTCAGAAATCATTCTAATATGCTGATTTACTGCTCAAGAAACATGTTCGTGTTGAAAACAGTTGTGCTGCCCAATATTTCTGTGGAAACTGTGATGCATTTTATTTTTCAGGATTCTTTGATGAATAGAACGTTCTAAAGAACAGCATTTTATTTGAAGTAGAAATCTTTTCTAATGTTGTGCATTTAACAATTGAACTCAAAAGTATTTTTGCTTTTGAGCACTGATAGTTCATCATAGTTTCTACAAAAAACATGCAGCAAAAACGGTTTTCAAAATTAAGAAATGCTTCACACACACACACATACACAGATGTATATATAAATATGAAAAGTTCAGATGCAAAAGCCTCTAAGTGCCATCTGAAATTTATCTAAAATGAGGATTTTTAGCAGGTTCCTACATTTATGTTCAGTTATTTCACTTTAATTGTATAGAAAAGGACATATACATTGCCATTAGAGTAATATTACTGAACCTAAACAGAGGAGCCTGCTAAAAATCCTCATTTTAGATGAAAATTTTAGACGGCACTTAGAGGCTTTTACGTCTGAACTCTTCATAGATGTATATAAAAAAAAAAAAAAAAACTATTCCAAACTTAACCTGTGCTGTATTAAATGAATGTCACCATGTTGTTGTTTAAGAAATGCTTCACACACACACACATACACAGATGTATATATAAATATGAAAAGTTCAGATGCAAAAGCCTCTAAGTGCCATCTGAAATTTATCTAAAATGAGGATTTTTAGCAGGTTCCTACATTTATGTTCAGTTATTTCACTTTAATTGTATAGAAAAGGACATATACATTGCCATTAGAGTAATATTACTGAACCTAAACAGAGGAGCCTGCTAAAAATCCTCATTTTAGATGAAAATTTTAGACGGCACTTAGAGGCTTTTACGTCTGAACTCTTCATAGATGTATATAAAAAAAATAAAAAAAAACTATTCCAAACTTAACCTGTGCTGTATTAATGTATTATATGAATGTCACCATGTTGTTGAACATTCTTCATGATTAGTTTGAGATATAGGGAGAATGTACACAAATTGGCCTACTATAAAGTTACCAAGCACTGCACAACACGAATGCTGCACACTGAATATTTCAAGTATTTATTTCAATACCTACATTTCTTACCATAATCAGTTACAGTAATCAACCAACAATGAAACAATTTGTAGACAAATAAATTACTGCATGAAGTACATACACTTTGACTCTGAAGAAAAACTACTGTAAAAGCAACAAGAATACTGTAACTATTCATCATCTCTCCATCTGGCTGGATCAGGCCATAAGATTACATCCACATCACAGGCAAGGCACCGTTGGAAGAATCGCCTCGTGTGACGAATCCACCCCTGCACAGAAGCTGCTTCGATATGATCACAGGCCTGC